AGGGGAGAGCAGTAGATGTGCAATTTGATTTTCAAGCATCGGGCATTGGCATGGTTTGTTAGCTCCAACGTGATTGCGCTCAGTTTAGCGTCAATTCACAGGCAAAAACATGTGCTATCACTCTGAAAACTCACTGGCACAGGTGCCTGTTCGATTGCATTGTTTTTGGTTTAGGCAGAAGCATTGCAACCAGTCTCTGAGCACCAGAAAACCCCAATGCCAAGATCGCAGCAGCAGCAGCAACAGTATCCGTACGAGCAATCGTGCAGTAGCATTTCGCGCACTCTTTCATGGAGCAGCAACAAAAGTCTCAGCAGCACCGCACCATTGGTTAGTTCAATTTGAAAGCGAACAGTTCGAATTATAGCGAATTTATTCATATAGTTACGGCAAGATGGATTTCAGGGTGACATTCCCGTACGTGAAGCGATGTATACATCAACACCGGTGAGCAGTCGAACGACCAACGACAAGGTTGTCTTTCTTTTCAGCCCTTGTGGTCTCATTTTGATCCCATTTTGCAGTCTGGAGTAAAAAAGTGGGATTTGAGCTAAAGTGTGGTAAAGAGGAGAGGGGGACCGGGTAAGGTGAAGAGGAGCAAATTTGGGCACTTCGAGTGTTTTTATGCGTTTTTTACAGCTATGCAATGCAGACAACGTATATTGACGAGAGGTTGTCTGTGTGTTCGTGTGTACGTCTGTCAGGATTTTTCATCTCTTGATCTACAAAAAGCTACACGGCTGAAACTTTGGGGACTTGATCTACATGCAGGTACGGACCCCAGTCCTCAAAGTGGGCCCCATTACCCGCGTGATACCCACGCACGGGCCCGTCAAAGTTTTTTTCGGGTAAGTTTATAACTCGGGGATCTGAGAAGCCAGAGGACTGTAATTTTAAGAGGATATACCCCGTCCACCTAAATTTCATTCAGCTCAAACCCAACTCTCGGGTATGCGTGGTAAACAAGCACGGGCCCGTGAAAGTTTTTTTCCAGTAAGTTGCTAACTCAGGAGCCAAGGGAGCTAGAAAGCTGAAATTTTGAGGGGATGTTGTCTGACAGTTCTGGCAGCCAGTTTTAATTTGTTTAGCTAGAAGCATTTGCCGGAAAAGCCGGTGCCGATATCAACAAAAACTGCGGGAAATTATGCAAAAAACGCATCTTCGCACGGGCAGCCCGTGCGTTGGCCAATTCTTACTTTTTTACCATGATCAGGCCCCTCTCCTTCCTTAACAATCGATGAAGGGGATCCGTGTTAACGCTGCCATCACACATGGGCAGGCGTTTCGGTCTTGTGTCGCATACTTCCAGTTCGCGCCCACCGCTTGTTAGATGTAGATTTGACATCTCTTTGAATATGAATCGGAATGATTCGTCGAACGGATTTTGCCTTTTTCGCTTGATTAGAACTGCATCCTACACATCGTTTACTGGTCGATGAATCTGACTGCTTACATGGTTAGCAGAGAGATTCCTGGCATCTCTTACTCCATCACTGTACAGACAGCGAAAGTTCACCGTCCTTGTTCGGCAGTGGCTACGTTTTGCCCGCGTGGATCTTTTGCTTTTGACATAGCAATATTGAGAAGTGGGCACTGTTCTTCTGGCTTAATAATTCCTTCTGGCTCAATAATCTGATGATATGGAGGATGCTGTAAAAATATGCACCAATCGGGCAGCCCTTCTGCGTGTATTTAAGTTGAAAATTGCTGCACAGATTTACCTCTGAACAAGTTCAGTGTAACTGTCAACTTCTTCCGAGACACCGTCTATCTACAGTTTCAGTTGTGTTGTGCTCATAACAACATTTTGCATCCCCATGATTTCTAATTTATTGATTTTCAGGCTATTTTGCTTATTTAATACGTAAAATACTTGTAGCATCTCGTTTATTTCGCAAGCGTAACATGCAGTGAGATACAGAGCGTTAATGGCTCGGGATTGACTTTCAAATTGCATTTTTAGTTCGGCTTCCCAAATGTTACTTTTGGAAAAAGCCGTGATGCTCGGGTAATATGAAATTAAAGGTTAAAAGGAAAATATCAGGAGAAAACAATGAAGAGGAGGAAAAGGATATTAAAATAGGTAAGGGGTCTAATGAAATTTTTGTAATAGGTAAGAAATGTTTCGGTCCATTAAGTTGTATGCATTTCTTACCGTTACGACAATTGGACCTCGTCAGTGCGACGATTATGGTAACAAAATAATTTAGTGAGGTGTAGGATTAATTAAGATAAAAGAAATGTAAAACAGAAGAAATAGTAGGAGGAAAAAGGAAAAGGGGAAATTCCCTGCTTGACGTTTTTTCTTGCAAATTAAAGTCGGAGAAGTTTGCCCCTCTAACAGTTCTCGCGTCTTAATTTCCACATAGTTTCTATCGACACGATCACTTGCGAGAGTTTGTAGCACAAAAGTGCGTCTCGACAGAAGTGGCCCTTGTGAAACGTAATTATAAAGCGCAGGGTGGAGTGCTAACTTTTCGAAATTGTCAGCATTCATTTGTAGCGAAATACCTCTGAACCCCCTTCAAACACGGATTCGTACGGCTATGTACTGGCTGAATTGGTTGGCGTAAGCTTCCCAAACTTCTTACTGGCTCCGTTGAGTTCGATGTTAATGCAGTAAAGGCCGGGATCCTTCCGTGTTTTGTGTCTCGTAAAATCCAGGTGGTTCCAGCTAGCTTGTTCAGGAATGTAACTTTTTTTTTTTCATTGAAGACTACGCCAGTCACTTTCATGATGCGACCAGACGCCGACTACACTCCGAACTCAGGCTTCAACCAGACTTGCGTTAGCCGCGAGGAATACGTTAAATGGAAGAGAGATGCGGATCAAGAAGCGAACGTCGTAAGCCACACTGCCATTAGCTTTATCTTCAGTCTGAAGTTCAATAAATCATTTAAAGTCGTCTTCGTTCCTCTGCGTATTGTGCCAACAGAGCTTTTAATGCTCTATGAAATTTACCGGATCTTCTCATCTCTGTTTACTTTATTGTTAAGTAAGAACAAGGCAAATTTTAGGACAAAAATGAGATTTTTCGGACGAAGAGTGTCATGTTGTTTATGATGAGAAGCACTGGGTTTTCCTTTGTTTTGCGGGGTTTTAACGAGTTTTATTATGCTTTTTTTTTGCATCCATGCAATGCAAAAATGCATACTGTCGTGGGATTGTCTGTGCGTGTGTTTATTCATCTGTACCAATTTTTCATCTCCAGACCTACAAAAGCTACAGTTCGAAACTTTGGGAAGTTAATCCACATTCACATACGGGCCCCCATCCCCAAAATGGGCGCTCTTACGAACCCATCAAGACTTTGCAGGCAAGTTTTCAAGAGTTAGCTCGGAAATCAGGGAAGCTAGGAAGCTGAAATTTTAAGGAAATGTTCCTCGTCCAGGTAGAAATAGGTTCAAACCCAGCACCTAGGTATGCGTGGTGCTGCCGTGGAAATTTTTGGCGGGTATGTTGCTAATTCAGGAACCTGAAAAGCTAGGAAACTGGAATTTTGAAGTCATGTTTTCTGACAGTCCTAGTGGCCAGTTTCACTTCTTTTAGCTAGAAGCATCTACCCGAAAAAATAGTACAGTTAGCGACAAGAACCTGCGAGAAACTATGCAAAAAACGCATCTTCGTACTGGCAGTCGATGCGTTGGCCAATTATTATCCTTGGATGCTTGAATGCAGCCCTGGCGGTTATGGTGTGTAATTCTCCAGGAATTACAAAAGAGTGTGCCGAATAACTGCACTTTTGTTACGCAGCATATCGTCGTTTATCCATCGAAACATCTGGAAATGCAGCGTTTCCCGAATAAGGTCTTCCACTACCTTTACGAAACTGGCAATAATGCTAAGGAGGACGCAGCTGTGCAAATTGGGACTCCGCGTAAAGATCACTGCTCGGCAGCCAAGGAAGCAATTGTCACTCAATCCCCGGAGGTGCGCTTAAAAGATTTGTTTTCTTAGTTATTGACTTCCCAAAAAACTCTCCTTATTCCGTTGTTGTGAATGAACTACCTGTACAGGACACGAGCCGAGCCGTCTCTGTGCTCAATGTGATGTTACAACGGCGCTTGAATGGCAGCGGGAATCACAATGGTCCTACTACGAAGGAACGCTCAAACGGCTTATGTTTGACACCAACGGCACCGCCGTCAAGCCAGTCGACACAGCGAGTTTTGTACTTGCGCACCAGTCCGGTACGATTCATTTAGTTTGAAAAGATGTTGCGCTGCGATGCAGTAGTGGTCAGGTGGACAATCACCCTGTTTCCGATGGTCCCGGAATTCGATAATTTGGTTCATTGTAATGAGGACTTGCGCGGCCGGAGGCGTAGCGCTGCGGGAAGTGCACACATCCAAATTAATAAACAATGCTTTATTCGTAAAGAAGCGCTAAACCAAAAAAAAAAGAATCAGAAAAAGGTAAAGATGGGATACACTTGTGTTCCTGGTGGTCGTTTGTGGCGCGCTGGCTAGCAAAATGGCTTTTATTGTACAGCGT